GCTCTCTTTGTCTTCTAGCGGCTACTCTTATTGGTCTGATACGCTTTGTTTGAGTTTTCTCAAGAACAGTAATTCCTTTATCGCAATTTTTGTGCAATTCAACATGTTTTTTCAAGATAGCTTGAGAAGCAAAATAGAGATGGCAAACTTTGCATATTCGATTCAATAGACAAGTCTGTACTGATGGACAAAAGAGATACTATGTGAAACAAAAAGTGATGGATACTTATGAGACTCACTGTCTCCTCTTTTGTCAGCTTGAAGACCATTACTTGTTTGAATAACTGGAATTGGAGGACATAAAAATCGCGAAGGAACAACATTGAAATATGAGCTTCTTATTTTAAAGCAACATTTTACATCTTGACATTTAACAATTTGAGTAAAGTATTGACTTGTGCGGACGTGTTCAGAAAACCATTTTATATCTTTAATTATCAATTCTTCTGCATCTAGCTCAGATGTCTCTGGATCAATAAACTCGGCAACTGTTGGAAACTGGTCAATAATAACTTGTGACCATATTTCAGCCAATGTTTGTCCAGCATACTTGAAATTTCTTCTCTCCAAATAATCATCTATTGTTCTGCCCTGTGAATCGAGATGGCTACCATAGCGTTCATGAGGCAATATAACACCAGAAAGTTCTCTGCTCAGTGGAGCCATTCGACGTTCCACTCTATTGAAAGCACTTCTACCTGGCGCGTTGGTTGCAATAAATAAGGCGTCTAGATTATTTTTAACAAAATGGTGGATAGCAACATCTATGACTTTTTGATAACGTGGATTTTCATCTGGTCCTCCGTCCACCGTGAAGACAACAATAGGCTTTATTATCTTATCTCTGCCGTCTTTTGTTATTGCATCAAATTCGTCTAATTGTAACAATCTTTCAAAGTCTAAACCATGAGCAAGAGCAGAAGAAGACGAATGTTTGCCTGATCGGATTGCAATATAAGTTGGACCTCAATATACGTAACAGCGTCTGGTTTACCAAGTCCATCTTTCTTGATGCAAATTCCAGCATATACTGATGGAATAAGCTTATGTCTTGCTGCAACAACCCAATCGTGGTCTGGCAAATTGATGCGATATTCAACATGCATAAGCAATGGAGCTTGTTTGATTGCAGCTGTTAACCCAATAGGGACTCGCGCTTTGTCATCTTGGCTAATAAAACAGACTTCTTTTGGTCCCAGTATAGACGACAACTCTTCCAGGTGTCTCAAGGTTGCTGTACAGAATTTTCCATCGATGTGCTTTGAGTGTGACTCATTCTGAGATCGGATCAATTTGACTGGCACTGTTGATATGTGTCTTTTTCCTTCCAAAGTTGAACTTTGTCGTGGCATTAGCCGAGTGTAAACGGTGCTCCTACTCACCTGATAACCATCTTTATTTAGTTGCTTAGTCAATTCATCTAGTGTTTTAATACTGCGATACATATCACTTTGTCGTCTTTCATGTGCAGCTGATCCATGTAAAGCAATATCAACTATGGCTTTCAGGAAAAGTGGTTGATTAATTTCAACAGAAGGTCGACCTGTTTTATCTTTTGCTTTCAAAGCATCACAAACTCCAGGGTTCTCTGCGCAAATTTTAGCGAGAGTTTCTCTTTTTTTTGCTCTAGTTTTTTTCTGTCTTGCTTGTTCTTTCTTTTTTTTTAACAAACTTTTCTCCAACATATCTACTTTTCTTCTTTTCTCAATAAGCTCTGCTTCTTGATCATTCGTAATAATACCACTGTCTTTTCTTTTATGTAGTCCAACTAAATCACTCTTGATAACATCAATTTTAACTTTTAGTTCATCTTGAACTTTTGTTTTATATTTTCCTACATTTTCAGAACCAGACGTTGATGAAGTTATCATAGAACATTCACAAGAAGAAGCTTTACATTTATTACCCCCTACAACAGTATCTGGTAATTTTGCTAGAACATCCGGAGCCGATGATTTACGTGGTATAGTTTTCGCATCATCATGTCGTAATGATTGATTTGCCCAGAAACTCATCAGTGTACCTTTTTTCTTTTTAAACAGAGCATCATATTCTCTTAACAGGGAGTCTACTTTTGCAGAAAGATTATCTTCAGATTTCACCTTACTCCAAATATCATTAACTTCCTTTTGACAATCTTGTTTCCTCTTCTGTGAATATGCCTTAACATAGGCATCATAAAGTGATGCGTATAACTGTCCTTTGTCCATCTTTATATTATGAATTGCCTGAAACACATTTGCACTCATTTAGAGAAATTAAAAATATTGTATTTATGCCATAATATCAATTACTACTAACTTAGTTATACTGAGCGCTAACTAGCTTCTATCCTATTTACACTATTATTTGATAATAATCTTTGTTTGCTATTGGCTATTCAAAGCATGAGCAAGTCTATTTAACTTAGTTATTATATATTATATATTTAAGTAGTCATATATTCTTGCTTAAATGTAAATATAACTAAAACTCTTATGTTTATATAATGCCATAAGATTCAAAAAAATAAATAATATAAAAGATAATATTTTAAAAATGTTTTATTTACTTATTTAAACTCTCTATTTAAAATTCCAAACTTAAATTATACGTTCTTAATTTAATGATTTTGCATTGCTGCGCTTTAATGTCTTCAGAAACGTGAAGGCAGTTTTTTGCGAACTTTTTAAACTATTCAAAACTATTTAAAATACGGCGATACGCAAAACATAAGAAGTGTAAGTAAAATTTTAGGCAATCGGAAATACTCCTTTAATTGAATGAGTAAATAAGTAGAAAATAATCATGATAAATAATTTTTGTGATGTCACATTCGTCAAACTCCCCCCTCCCCCCTTGTCACAAATTGTCACAAACTTATGCCTTCCCCCCCCCCCCTAGTAGCGTGACGTACTTTATGGATGACCCCTTAAATTTATATCAAATTATAATTTATTAACATATTAATGTTAGTTGATATATTAATGTTATATAAGTTTTAAAACTATTTTAATTTATAAAAAAAAAGTTTTTTTATGGGAGGCCCTTTGGTAAGAGTAATTTAAAAGTTTTTATATTTCTTTGAGAGTTGGGCACTATTATGATTATTTGGTCCCACAAGACATCCCAAAATGCTTTACAGCTAAAATTACATACATTATTTGGAAGTTGGCAGGCATTGGGAAGTTTTGGCAAACACATTTGTGTATCCATGATGGAAATATTGTGTAAACCACAAGCTATATACGAGTTTAACTGAGAACTAACTTAACATAAGAAGATAGTATCAGAAGCAAGAGTGAGTTTAAAACAAACTAATTTAACTTTAGTAGATACTCATAAACTAATTGATCTTAGTGTTAGTAAGTGCTATTTTTAAGGATAGACAAAATATATGATCTAAAAACCTCTGGTCAAATAGGTTTGTCCATAATGGTTGTTTTACCTAAGGCATATTTACAACATATCAAATCAAATACTACTCAACAGGCTATAAATATGAACATCACACTAAAACCTTATAAATGTTATATTAGTGATAATCATACTTGATTAACCAGTACCATAACACAAATTTATTTTTCACAACTTTTTATTCGCAAGATTAAGCTATCCAATATATGTGTGAATATCAAAATGCAATCAATTAAGTTTTTTCTATCCTGCTAAAATTTCTCAATCTAAAAAATTTTAGCATGATAAGCAAGTTATTTAACATTTAAACAAATTATAATTAAGAATTACTATTGCATATATGATTTCAATAATAATTTATTTTTTATCACACTTCAATATAAATATATATATATATATATATATATATATATATATATATATATATATATATATATATATATATATATATATATAATATATATATATATATATATATATATATATATATATATATATATATATATTAACAAAATGTATTATATATCAAGAGTTACATTTAAAAAAATTAATTTATGTGTAAAAAGTAGCTAAAGAAACTTAGAAGAAATTTTTTCTTAAGTTTCTTAAAAAATTTTATTATTCTTACACTTTTAAGAATTTTTAAAGTTTTGAAAAACAAACATAGTTCTTATTTTAAGTTTTTACAAAATATTTTGATAGGTTATTGTTTATTTTTTTATTGTTTATTAGGTATTATTTATTTTTGTTTACTTATATATACTCTTTAGTAATTTAATGAATAAAGTTATATTTTTAAATATAAAAGTTTAATGTGTGTAATTATTTATCTATATATAATTCATTTTATCTTTGAAAACAATTTAAAATCTCTAATTTCCTATTTTCTATAAAAATTAGAAGATTTAGGTTTTATTTTGAGTAAAGATGATATTTTGTTAAAGTAGAAAAAAGATTGTGCCAATGTTATTATTATTATTCCCAAAATTTTTAAAAAACAAGTTTTTTAATAGATGAGATAACCTAACAAATAATATGAAACATAAACATGAAAACGTAAAAATGCAACAACTTAATAATTTTTTTTCTAATTTAAAAAATTGAAATCAATAAGTCTATTTTTATAATTAAATTTCTATATAATAGAACAGTATAACATTTAATAGACTATAAGAAACTAGAGACTTTACTAAAAAACGTTTAAGAATATTCCTAGAAGTTCATATGGTGAACTTTTGAGTAAAATTCAAAAACTTAAAAGATGAAATCTCATATTTCAGATTGAAACTATGAAATTTAATACTTTATTAAATTGAAAATTTCATACATATTTTGTCAATTTAATAGAAACTTAAAATTAAAAACCTAATATAATAAAGAAATAGTTTTTGTTACAATGTAAGGTATTACTTTTCATTTGTTATTATTTATTTTTTTTATTTCAAATACTACTATTTTGTACTGATATTGATACTAATATAGGTGTAAATAAAGGCATCCTTTTAACGGTACTGAATTATTTTAACGTTGTTGCAGTATAATGCGGTACTCTCTTTGCGCATTGGAAAACACGTTCAGTTGGTTAAAAGTAAAAATGAGCTTACTTTCCAAGTTCTTCTTTTAATTCATATATGTCAAAAAACTTGGGACTTTCAGTTGCGGCCATTTTTCTATTCCTCTATTAAAATCTTTTTTTGTTCGTATTTTATTACGGAGATTTATTAAGAAAAGAAACGTTGTTGTTGTTAAGGGATGGTCGTAAACGATTAAGCGTATTAGACAAAGAAAATTATCTTATAGTTACGTTTGATAAATAATCAGCCCTAAGATGGTCAGATTACTCTTAGCCATATCTTAATTTAAAAAAATAGTAAAATAAACCGCTTTGATACTGATTATTATATAAATACTCTTTTTTTTCTTTGTTTGAACTTTTTTTCATTTTATCTATCGCGTAGAAAATTGAACTGAACCGCTAAAAGATTTTGAAAAAGTTTGAATTGTTTCAGTCCGTTTAGTGATGTCTCAAAATATACCCAAGGCATATTTAGGTGGTAACTTTTATTCAAATAAGGAATATTTTAATAGAGTTTTTTTCTTTAAAAAACAGTAATTGTGAGTAGAAGAAGACGAGGATGGACTTTATTAACAAATTCTGGAAGAAAACGCAGGCGGTTTTTTTAAGAACAAACTAAGCAAAAATACTATATATAATTTGCATTTGAATAAAGTTATTTATAGTATGAAGAATATATAAATTACTTTGAAATCAATAAATTATTTAGAAGGGGATGACATTAGGGTGGGTAAAAGGAACTTTCCATTATGCTATAAGAATACACAGGTTTTTGTTTTTTTTTTTGAGCTATTTAATAAAAGAATTAACAAATAAACAGCTAAAACAGCCGAAAGAGCTAAAAATCTCCAAAGCGATGCGTTGATATAACAGCTTTGTTAAACCTGTTAGATCAATTAACTATTATCATTCCTCAAAAATTAGTTTTTAAACTAATAATAAAATGATAAAATGTTTTATTTTACTTCAAAAGCTTTTTTTCAATTTTATACAACTTATTTTTACAACTGCATCATGTTTACTAATATAAATAACTTAAGAAAAAAAAAATACAATAAAATTTATAATTATTAAATAAAATTGGTCGATGTTGGTTTAACTCCTAATAGAGCATCGCAATTAACAATCACCGATCGGTAGTAAATGTTTTAAAAAACAAAGGTAAAAATAGCAAAAAGTAGAAAAAAACAGTTTGAATAATTCTATGAATAAGATAGAAAGCTTGCAATAAGTCAGAAGGTGCAACCACGGACCAAGAGTATGTGTGTTTGAAGAACAAAGTTACATAGGGTAAAAGATATTAAATAAATAGTTAAAAAGATAACATAAAGAAACTTTAGAAGACATAAGAATATAAGCAACAGTAAGTCAATATTTCATTTCATTTAATGCACCTTTAAAGAAGATAAGCAACAGTAAATCAACATTTTATTTCATTGAATGCACCTTTAAACAAGATAAGCAACAGTAAGCCAACATTTTATTTCATTGAATGCACCTTTAAAGATTTTATGCAACAGTAAGTCAACATTTCATTGAATACACCTAAGATAAGTATGATTAAAAAAACGGTTAGATATCTACTTTTTAGTGTTAATAAATTTATCTGATATTGTATTTTATTTCGTTATCTACCATACTGACGCCTTTGTAATTTTTCAAGGCAATAAAAAATATAAATCGTTTTACATTATCGTTTTACGTAATCGTTAAATGTAAAACGATTTTTACAAAAACGTAAAATTGTATATATATATATATATATATATATATATATATATATATATATATATATATATATATATATATATATATATATATATATATATATATATATATATATATATATATATATATATATATATATATATATATATATATATATATATATATATATATATATATATATATATATATATATATATATATATATATATATATATATATATATATATATATATATATATATATAAAGCAAATTGTTTGTAAAAATGTGTACATTTTTGTAAAAGAAAATGAATATTTAAAAAAGTAAAAGTTAAAAAAAGTTTAAAACAATATCCTCAGGATGCCGGTTCAATGTTTAAACAAATAAGAAATATTTATTCGGAGTCTCTATTAAAATATTGCTAAAGTCTCGCAGCTTTTCCAAATAGAACTCATTTAATGTTACTGCAATGGTATTTCTTAGGGTAGATTTGATCTAAAATATCATGTAAAGAATCAAATGTTTAACTTTTTTGCATTTTTGTATCTTATAGCTTCATCTGTTTATTGCGGGCGTATTTTATCTTCTGTAAGTTTTTAGTTAAACATTTTTTCATTCATTGGTAATAAAAAATGATCTATTTTAATAAGGTTACACTTATTGGTTAAATTTTTATACTGTGATTGAAGTTCGAACCTGGTTTTTTTATTTATACTCGAGAATTTTTTACAGTTTCTTTAACAGTTTGTATAATTTAATACAGTAAGGTTTATATATTCTTTTTATTTAGTTATTTTATACATTTTACAATTTTATTACATTCGTAAACTTAGTCGAAATTGGTCAAAAAATGGATAAAACGTTTAGCGACCTATTATTGATAAAAATCGACGCTTGATTTGAAATGTATATTTCAAACTTTTTTATATATACGTTTACTAAACGTCGATCTAACGTTTAGAATATCGACTTACATTAGTCAATATTGTAAACCTTTAATCGACCTTAATTAAACGTAAACATTTATCGATTTAAAATCTATGCTTCAAATCTTTTAATGTATACGTTTGTTAAACGTCGATCAAACGTTTATAATATTGACTTATATAAGTCGTTATTCTAAACGTTTGATCGACATCTAATAAACGTTTATTATACTATAATATAGCAATACAGCTATTGGTCAGAAAACTCACATAACAGCTTAAGTTACGCAGTTTAAAATTATGCCTAATTAAAACGAATTAAAAAATATGAGTTGCTGGTCTCTCGTTATAAAAGTCCTACTGCAAGAACTTTTTTCGTAAGTTTTATAAACAGTTTAAATTCATTTTGTAAACGCTAGTATGATTGTGTAACAGTCGGTATTCATCTTTGCTATAATCAAGTTATTTTTTTATTTTAGATGCATTTTAGCTTAATTGAGTAACATTTGCTTAAGAAAATTGGTAGAGCAGACCCAGCAAACATGCTTTCAGCGGACCGTGATGCGCAAAGCCGCCGCCGGTAAGCCAGTGCTGACCCTTTGTTATGCCTAATGCGGCTTGCCGCTGCCGGGTAGCTGATGCAGGACCGGCATCCTATTTTATGTTGGCTTTCCGCCATCGGCCGAAGAGCGATAAAACACTTCGTCGCTAATGCAATTTTAAATGGGCATGCCAGCTTCGGTAAGTTCATCACGATACGCTGTAGCTTTGCCCACACAATGCCAAAGTGGGCTTTTGGATGGCGGTAAGCTGTCGTAAAAAACATCAAAAGCAAGCGTTTCAAGCGCCATGATATTTTGATTGGTCGATATCGATATATAGTGATTTATGGTTTTATTTTATTAGTGTTTATTAAATACTAAGAGGTAACTCTAAAATTAAGAGAGTAATATTATTAAAAAATAATTTTTGCCTAAAATTATTTTTTATCAATGTTACTTTATTAAATAACTTTAAAAATGTTACTTTATTAAATTAAATGTTACTTTATTAAATAACTTTAAAATGAAGAGAAACTTTATTAAATAATAATTTTAGGCAAGTAAATAAAGTTTATTTACATGCCCAAAATTTAGGCATGTAAATAAACTTTATTTACTTGCCTAAATTTTTATTTAATAAAGTTTCTCTTCATTTTCAAGTTAACTCTTACTAAGCTTAGTAAGAGGTAACTCTTCATTTTAGAGTTAACTCTTACTAAGCTTAGTAAGAGTTAACTCTAAAATGAAAAGAAACTTTATTAAATAATAATTTTAGGTATGTAAATAAAGTCTATTTAGCATATAACTTACATGCCTAAAATTATAACATGAGCTTTACTGTTTAAGTTTACCTAACTGTTTACTTATAAACTTTACTGTATATTCCAAGACTAAGAGTCTTAGTCTTAGAATATACAGTAAAGCTATAACTTTCATATCTATTTGAAATGAAATACAAAAAGTATATATATTTTTTACTTAAGTTTATTAAATATATATAGACTTGAGTAAAAACTTATATACTTTGTATATTTCATATCAAATAGATAGTGAAAGTTACAAAATAGTATAAAGTTATAGAATAACATTAAATGGAAAGTTATTAAACATTAAATGAAAAGTTGTGGAATATATATACTCATATAGTTTATACGTCTTTATATAATATAAAGATATCTTTATTATGTTATGTTACATATTATGAGTCTTCGTAATATATTATATTATAAATACTCGTATATCTAGATATACGAGTATTTATAATATAATATATTACGAAGACTCATGATAAGAGTATATGAGTCATATAAAACTCTCTATGTTATTTTATATTCAATTTCATGTATAACTTGAAATTAAATGTGAACTATAGACTTTATATAGTATATACTATATAAAGTCTATAATTCACATTTTATTTTAAATATATATTTCAAGTTATATACGAAATTAATTACTATATGTAATTTTTAAGTTACATATGAAATTAGGTACCATATTATAGGCTATGTATGAATGGTATCATATGTTATATATGAATTTACGTATCAAATAAAGTTGTTTTATATTATTATTATACAACAACTTGTAAACGATACATAAATTCATATATAACATCATGTCATATGATATATCATATGACGTACGATATGTTGTATATGAATTTACGTATCATATATAATATTATATTATATAATAACTTGATATATTGAGTTATATATTGACTTATATATATTATATACTTAATATTATATAATATATGATACGTAAATTCATATACAAATATTGATATGTTGTAATATTAATACAACTTGAAATACATATATTTGATTTAAAAAATAAATTATAGACTTTATATAGATGTATATTGACTTATATTGATGATTATATACTTTCATATGCCATGATGAGTTATGAAAGTATATATATATATATATATATATATATATATATATATATATATATATATATATATATATATATATATATATATATATATATATATATATATATATATATATATATATATAT